CCTCAGCCTCCCAAAGGCGCGGGATTACAGGCTGAGCCACCGAGCTTGGTCTCTGCTCTAGCCTTAGGAAATCGGATGTTCTTCACCCCTCCCTCAGCCTCCTCTTCCGGGAAGCCATCCCAACTGCCGTCCTGCACTATTCCCTGCGCCCCGTACAGCTGGGGGGGGTTCTGAGGATGATGCCACCTGCTCACTCCAGACATTCCTTGGCGCGGGTGGGGGGGGAGTGGGGGAGTCGGGAGTGGCGGCGCGGAGGGCAGAAGGCGGTCCCAGGAGGGGCCTGGAGGTGGAGAAAGGTGGCCCGCGGTCAGCCCCGCCCCACCTGGGGACGCCCGGCCACCCGCCCCGCGGATAAAAGGCTCTGAGGCTCCCGGGGTCAGCGAGTGCACGCTCAGGCTCGCCCGCGCCAGGTGCCTCCCGGCCGTCCAGCCGCGATGTCCGTCTACTTCAGCTCGCAGGTGCACAGCGGCCACTCCGCCTCCCAGCCCCTGAGCTCGAGGCGGCCCCGCAGCTCCGGCAGCCGCAGCCTGTACAGCCTGGGCGCCTCGTTGCCGCGCGTGGCCGGGCGCTCCGCCCCGGGGGTCCCGCTGGGCGGCACCATCCGGGAGGTCAGGGTCAACCAGAGCCTGCTGGCCCCGCTGCACGTGGACGTCGACCCCTCCATCCAGCGGTTGCGCCAGGATGAGTACAAGCAGATCAAGACCCTCAACGACAAGTTCGCCTCGTTCATTGACAAGGTGAGCCAGAATGGACGGTGCCTGGCCGAGCCAGGCCACACCAGCCTCCCTCACGGCCAGGCGCTGGGAGGACTGGCACTGCTCCCCACCCCCACTCCTGCGGGTGTCGGGGGACACTACCCTGGTGGCCTTCATTCTCCCCGAGAACCCCGTTGATATTTTGTCACCCTGGGTCTCCAAGCCCTCTTCCAGCAAGCTGCCCGACTGCCCCCCTTTCCTACAGGAATGCGTTCCTGGGTGCTGCGGGCTGCCCTCCTTGCTGTGTCTGGAGTCCCTTGGGGCTCTTGGTGACCAATTTTGTCACCGGCATCACGGACTGGAAGTTCCAGAGGCCCTGGGCTGCAGGTCTTCCCTCTTGGGCTTGATCCCTGAGAAGGGTACTGAATGGAGTCAGGGCCCTGGTGAGTGTGACACCTTTCCACACTCCCTGAAGCAGATGCTGGAATAAACGGTTGGAGAGAGGGACGTTCCCTGTCCCCCACCCTTCTCATCCGGCCCTGTCTGCCTGGCGTCCCCTGCCTCCCTTTGGTGGTATGTGAAGGGGTTATACTTGCCCTTGGAGACGGCCCAGACGAGGCAGGGAGTGGCCCTGAAGGGCCCCTGGAAAGGGCCATTTGGGAGGTGTTCTCTTGGCTGTCTGCTTCTGCCACACATGGGTTGCTCTAGGGAGGGTGGGGCAGACTTGACAGGTGGGTCTGAGAGGAGGGGGCACAAAGCCCAGGACCTCAGGGCTGGCCCTGCTGGCCCCTCCCGCCAGGGCCTAGGCTGAGCTGCTCCCCACCATGCCCTCCGTTCTTCTTTTCTTGCCAATGGACTCCTAGGCCTCCTCAGGTCTCTCCAAGCCCATGTTCCTCCCCTGCTGTGAAGCTGCACTGGCTTGCTGCCAGTAGCCCTGGGGGCCTGGTGCTGTTTTTTTGTTTTTGTTTCTGTTTTTGTTTTGAGTCGGAGTCTCACTCTGTCACCCAGGCTGGAGTGCAGTGGCATGGTCACGGGCTATCATGGCTACCGCAGCCTTGACCTGCAGGGCTCAGGTGATCTTTCCTTCCCAGTCTCCCAAGTAGCTGGAACCATAGGCGTGTGCCACCACACCTGGCTAATTTTTTGATTTATTGTAGAGATGAGGTCTTGCCAAGCTGCCCAGGCTGGTCTCAAACCCCTTGGCTCAGGCAAGCCTCTCACCGGCCTCTGCCTCCCAAAGTGCTGGGATTACAGGTGTGAGCTGCCGTGCCCAGCCTGAGTTTTAAGGAGGCTTCCCTTGTTCCAACCCCAGTCATAGCAGGTGCCCCTTAAGGGCCTTCCCCAGGGCCGGGGCGCATAGCAGGTGCTCATTTTACCTTGGATCTGTGGTAGTGCCCTTTCTTGGGACCTTGCTGGGAGAAAGGGGAAGGAGAGAGAGGATCTTGAGGAAGGAAAAGACGAGGGACTGGACGGATCAGGTCCAGGACCCAGGGACAGGAAAGGCGGCCCTTCAAAGCGGGAGGTGGGGAAGACCACCTGTAAGGCAATGGGGCGCAAAGCGGGGGGAGGGGAGACCCCAGAGCATGCTTGTTGGGGACATCGGTGAAGCCCGCAGTCCTGCTCCTTGGATCCCACTCTAAGATGCCAGACACTGAGTCCCAAGGGAGAGCGCTGGGGGCCCCAGTCGGGGGAGCGCACAATCTGCTGGGGGGCTCGAGACCCTCCGAAATCCCACTGTGGGTGGCACGCTCAGGTCTCTTGTTGAGTCTCCCGTTCCTCGCACCTTCTAGGTGCGGTTCCTGGAGCAGCAGAACAAGCTGCTGGAGACCAAGTGGGGGCTGCTGCAGGAGCAGAAAACATCCAAGAGCAGCCGCCTGCCAGGAGCCTTCGAGGCCCAGATTGCGGGCCTGCGCTGGAGGCTGGAGGCACTGCAGGGGGATGGGGGCCGCCTGGAGGTGGAGCTGCAGAGCGTGCAGGACGTGGTGGAAGACTTCAAGAACAAGTAATGCCCCGGGCCAGTGTGCCCTCATCAGCCAGTCCTCTGCAAGTCCCCAGGGGCCAGGGCTCACAGCTGCAGCAGCTCAGAACCGTAACTCCCTGGAGGGACCATCTTTCTCCCCTCTTTGTCCCTGGGTGCTGTTTCCAAGTCTTTCTGGTCCTGTCTCCTGACTCAGCCCAGCCCTGACCTGCACTGTTCCCTTTGGGTGTATGACTGAGGCTCCCCAGAGCAGGGCAGAAGGTGTCTGCTGACAGGGTTGGGACAGAACTTATTTGACCCCCACGGACCATTCTAGAAAAACTCTCTTTTGTTCAGGTGAGGGATGAGAGTCCAGGGGGGTTTGGAGGCTTGGTTGAGATCACACAGCAGGTCACGGGAGAGCTGGGACTTGAATTTTAGGTCCCTGATTCCCAGGAGGGGAAAAGGAGCCGACCTGGGAAGGAAAGAAGCAGGATGGGGGGGAATGATTGACGTGATGGATGGGAGGGGCCACAGAGGCCGGGAGTGGGTCTGGTCAGGGCAGGAGCTGGAAAAAAGACAGGCCATAGAGATGCCCCCTGAGCTCTTTTCTCACTGAATAGATACTGAAGCCCTGACACACTTGCCCAGTGGGCACTGGGGGCAGAGAGGGAGTCCTATCCCCTGCCCACGACTGTATGATTAAGCAGGAACAGGCACACTGGTCCCCTTCCCCCACTTCCTTAGGGCGAAAGTCAACAGGATTAGTCCCAGACAGGTGCAGGACTGGGGCCACCTGGGCCATCAGTCAGTCCCTGTTGTCAGGCACTCACACGTGTGTGCATGCATGTGTGTACAGCCCCCCGCCCCTGTATGCGTTCCCCACCCCAAAACCCTCAGCACCACTGTGGAGCCAGGCTGAGCTCTAGGCTGGGGGGAGGAGGAGGTACAGGAAGTGGGTCTCAGGGAGCTCTGTGCATGGCTGCACAGCCCTGAGGCAGGGGTGGACAGGTGGCTTCTGTGGCTCCTGAGGGAGTGTGACTTTGGGGTTTGGGCCTTTCCCACTCCTGTCTGGGCCCTGAGGGGGGTTTGGCCTGCCCAGACATCCTGCTTTCCCCGGAGCTGCCCCAGGCTGCTCCCACTGGTCCTGGCAGCTCTCAGGCACTGCTGAACTCTTGTTTCTGACACCCTTTTTTAGAGCCTCCAAAGAAACACTGACTTAGGCCAATGTGCTCTCTTCTTCCCAAGGGTCCAGCCGGCCCCTGGGGAGGAAGAAGAATGGGAGGGGAGAGCTTCGGTAGGGTAGGAATGGAGGCTGGGCCAGCTAGCTGGGGCTGGGTTCTTCTGGGACTTTGTGTATCCCTGTCCTGATTCCATGAGGTTCCTCCCCATCAGGTCCCTTCTTCATCCCTCAGGGGTGGGATTAGGCAGTGGCTAGGGGCATGGAATGGCGTCAGCTGCTGGAGTTCAAGTCCAGGTGTTGCCACGAGTAGCTTAAGTGACTTGGGCAGACGACGCTGCCTGTCTGAGCCTCTGTGCCCCTCTGGTAACCTCAGAACCGTCATCGAGATCGTTGTGAGGATAAGATGAGGTGGGGCGTGGAGGAGCGTGGAACAGTATCGGCCCCAGAAAGCAGTCTGTATGCATGGCTGCTATATTTGTTTCTGCTTCCCAGTGTATGGGCCTGTGCGCTGTAATTCACACATGCCTCTTACGTGCCCTACCAGCAATGCTGCCCCCCCATTCTAAGACTCAAAGCCCAAGGAGTGGCCTGGTGGGAGCCAGGGAGATTTGATTTTGTAGCTCAGACATCTGCTTTTTCAGATGTGTCCTTAAGAAGAAGGGAGGTGGACACAGGGCAGGTTTCACACCTGTATTGGGGAGGAAGGGAGGAGATGAGGCAAAGCTGCACTCACACAGTGCCCCTCCTCTCCTGCAGGTACGAAGATGAAATTAACCGTCGTACAGCTGCTGAGAATGAGTTTGTGGTGCTGAAGAAGGTGAGGGAGACAGACAGGCTGGAGAGGGTGGTTTGAAAACTCAAGGGACAAAAGCCCATAGGACTGTCTCACCTGAGCGGCCGATGGGGAGACCTGTGGCCAGGGTCTGGCTTGGGCTGTATAAGAGGGGAGTGATGGGCTTGGGGAGGAGGGGTCTGAAAGCCAGGCCCTGTGTGCACAGCCTGTTCCGTGGGCGTGTGTGTGTCTGGTGAGTGGCTAGACTTATTTCTAGGCCTGTAGGACCTTTAGAGCTAAGAGCAAAAGACAGAGGCGAGAGAGGGAGAGATTTCAACCCTGAATAAGGAAGAGCTTTATCAAAGCCAGAACATTTCATCGCAGGCAAAGTTGGCAATGTGGCTGGCCGGAAGTGTTTGCTGAATGAATGTGATGAACTGCCTCAGGGAAGAATGAGCTCTCCATCCTCACAAGTGTGCAAGCAGAGGCTGGAAGGCCTTAGGAGTATCTTAGGGGGCTTTGAGCTATGACTCTGTGTTACAAGCCCAGGTGCTGTGGCTCATGCCTGTAGTCCCAGCACTTTGGGAGACCAAAGCAGGAGGATCGTTTTAACCTGGGAGTCTGAGACCAGTATGGGCAACATAGAAATACCTCATCTCTACAAGAGATAAAAAAAATTAGGCAGGCATGGTGTCTCCCAGCTACTCAGGAGGCTGAGGCAGAAGGATCACCTGATCCCAGGAGGTGGAGGTTTGTGGTGAGCCGTGATTGTGCCACTGCACTCCAGCCTGGGTGACACAGAGAGACCCTGACTCAAAGAAAAGGATTCTATGTAACACACACTCCCCGAGCAGCTCAGTTTCCAAGCCCATCCACAGAAAGGCAGCCTGCTCAGGGTGTTGGATCCTTGGAGGTTGAGGGATGACTAAAAGTGAGCCCTGCTCCCAGGAGTTTAGCCCCAGGGAAGTGCAGCTGGACAGCATCTATCTTGGGGTGTTATCTGAGGCCTACCCTCATCAACATTACCATGCTGCCAGCTCACCACGCAGGCTGGTGGTATCCCATCTCTGGGGCAGGGGCTGAGAGTCCAAGTGACTTCGTGTTTTCTGACTGCTGCATGAGAACTTGAGGCTTCCAGAGCTTGTCAGGTTCCACAGCTGGGAGGTGGCAGAACCTGGGGTGTGCTCCAATGGCCCTGTCTTTAGGAACTGGCCAGGTGCTGGGTTGGGGCTTCACGCTCCTCTGGGACACCGGTGCTGAGAAAGCCCCTCTGGTCCTGTGGATGTGTGGAGATGGTGCGCCACTCAGTGGGGGGGAGGGGGCAGTGGGGGACGTGCCTGCTGGGGCCATGCCAAGCAGCCTGGAGAAGCTGTGTTTCTTGGTCAGGCATGGTGAATGGGACTGGGCTGGCTTGCACCCACCTCACATGGTATCCTTCCACCCTGACTTGCTCCTACCCTCAGGACATGGATGCTGCCTACTTGAGCAAGGCGGAGTTGGAGACCAAGGTGGAGGCCCTGAATACCGAGGTCAACTTCCTCAAGACCCTCAATGAGATGGTGAGGATGTTAGGGGGTGGGTGACATGTCTTGTTCTGCAGGTCCCAGCCAGGGAGCCATCTGGTCCAACCCCCAGTCCCCACTAGGCCAGTAGAGGCATGTGTTGGTGGGAGGGGGCCCTTCCCCCGCTCGTTATCTTTCTGGACTCAGGAATTCATGATGGACTGGGGGTTCAAGAGGAACTGGGGGTTGGCCACGGATGACTGCAAGATTTCCAAGAAAGGGGGGTTGGGTGGGACTGAAGGGAGCGAGGAGGAGGTTGGGGGACCCCAGGCTGTGATGGGTTTGGCTAGGTGGGGCCGGTGAGGGAGCCCGAGTCTGGGGAAGGACTATGTGGGTTACCTCCCAGCAAGCGGCCACTCCTCTGTTAGCCTTTCCTTCTCAGGCCTTCTTGCCCTGGGCTTCTGGCTCTCTTTCCTTTTGGGGTTTTAAACACCTCTCTGCTCTCATCAGTGTGAGCCTCTGGCCTCAGGCAGAAGATAGGGTAGCCAATCACCGGGTGCGGCTGGGCTTAATCAGCATGGGAGGCAGTTTACAGAACAGTTCTCAGTTCTCTCCATCCAGTCTTTACCTGAACATGTAGCCTCTGTGAGCCCTTCAGAGCAAATTTCCACATGTGCATTTCAGGGGAAGGTCCTGGAGGCTTATTTGGGCACTTCTGACCTCAGTGCTGGTCAGCCTGTATCTACCATGTATTTGATATATGTGTGTGTATGGGTATATTTGTATATATGCTCAGCCACATAGATACATTCATTTATGTAAGTTGTATTTATGACACACACATATAAAATTTTCTTCTTGTTGTGGAAGTAATACATACTCATTAAAAAAAAAACAACCAGAAAATGAAGTCAAAACATTGAAAACAGATCACTCATACCCACTGTTGTCATCTTCATATCTACCTTTCCAGACTCTTTCTGTGCATAATCAACATAGAGACAGAGAAATACATATTTTTATTTTTAAAACTTTTATTTTAGAGTTGTGGGGTCTCTGAGGATTTGCTACATAAGCCAATTGCATGGAAGGGGATTTGGGCTTGTAGTGAGCCCTGTGTCCCCTTGGTAGTGGACATGGTACCCAGTGGGTGGTTGTGTGCCCCTTCTCCCTATCCCTCTCCCCTTCCCTCCCTCCTTTAGCCTTGCCCAGCACCCGTTGTTCTCACCTTTGTGCCCGTGTGCCCAATGTTTAGTGCCCACTTATGAGTGAGAACATGTGGTATTCAGTTTTTTGTTTCTGCGATAGTTCATTCAGAATGACGGTCTCCAGCTACATCCATGTTGCTGTAACGTCCATGATTTTGTTCTTCTTAATGGCTGCGTAGTATTCCATCATGTATATGTACCACACTTTCTTTATCCAGTTCACTTTTGGTGGGCATCTGGGTTGGTTCCATGTTTTTGCTGTTGTGAATAGTGCTACAGTGAACATAAGCATGTGGGTGTCTTTTTGGTAGAGGGATTTATGTTCCTCTGGCTGTACTCCCAGAAGTGGGATCACTGGGTCAAATGGTAGCTCAATATTTAGTTCTTTGAGAAATCCACACTGCTTTCCACAAAGGTTGAACTAGCTTACATTCCCATCAGCGGTGAAGAAGCATTCTCTTTTCTCTGCAACCTCGCCCAACACCTGTTGTTTTTTTATTTTTAGTGATTACCTTCCTGAACAGTGTGAGGAGGTATCTTTTTGTTTTTTGTTTTTGAGTTGGAGTCTCACTCTTGTTGTCCATGCTGGGGTATGGTGGCACGCTCACAGCTACTGCAGACTGTACCTGCTAGGCTCAGGTTGTCCTTCTGCCTCAGTCTTCCAAGTAGCTGGAACTATAGGCGTGTGCTACCACACCTGGCTAATATGTTTGATTTATTGTAGAGATGAAATCTCGCCAAGTTGCTCAGGCTGGTCTGGAAGCCCTGGGATCAGGCAGTCCTCTCGTCTCCACCTCCCAAAGTGCTGAGATTACAGGTGTGAGCCACCATACCTGGCCTCATTTTAGTTTTTATTTGCGAGAAATAAGTATTTAATAAAATAGAATCATACCTTTTTTCATGCAACAGTACACCACAGACACACTTCACTGACGTTAGTTAAACAGAGCCATTTCATCAGTTTAGAGGCTGTGCAGGATTCCTTAACAGGGTGGAATGTAGTCATTTTACCCGTCCCATATGGCATCACAGTGAGGGACATTACAGCTCACCACAGTATCTCCTTATGCCCACTGGTCTCGTCAGACTGCCTTTTGAGACACTGCTAATGGGCTCTCGGGGAACCAGGCGTGGGCGAAAGAACTGCCACAATGTACTGGGTCTGGGCCCCGTCACTGCCTGGAGACTCGGCCCACCCGGGACTCTCCTCTCTTTTTCTTTCCCTGGAGAGTGGGGAACCCCAGGTGGGTGTGGGTACAGGGATGGGTTGTGCCTCACACCCCAATGTTCTATGTGGTCCCCACAGGAGTTGGCAGAGCTGCAGTCCCAAATCTCGGACACCTCCGTGGTCCTGACCATGGACAACAGCCGCTCCCTGGACCTGGATGGCATCATCGCAGAGGTCAAGGCCCAGTACGAGGAGATGGCCAACCGCAGTCGAGCTGAGGCCGAGTCCTGGTACCAGACCAAGGTGTGCGGCCACTGGGGACATACTTCCTCCTGCCAGGAGCCTTGGTGGCAGCTGCCCTGACTCCACAACTTGTCTCAAGCCTTCAGGGCCTGGGATCCTGCTGTTCTGGCAGATACTGGTGGTTTAAGTTGGTGGTTCTCTATTAAGGATCTCTCTGGCTTGGGGAAGATCCCAGCCTGATGGGCGGACAGGGCAGAGGAAATAGACATGGATTAATAATTGTGATAGCTAAAATGTGGCATGTGCTTTCATAGTGCTAGGTGGTTTTCAGGTGTTTTACCTGTATTGACTCATGTAATCCACAGAATGGTCATATTAGGTAAGCACCATTATTATCCACATTTTGAGTCAAAGTCTCACTCTGTCAACCAGGCTGAAGTGCAGTGGCACGCTCATGGTTGTTGCAGCCTTGACCTTCTGGGTTCAGGTAATCCTTCTGCCTCAGCCTCCTGAGAAGCTGGAACTATAGGTGCACACCACCACATCCAGCTAATTTTTAAATTTTACTGTAGAGATGAGGTCTTGCAGTGTTGCCTTGGCCGGTCTTGAACTCCTGGACTCAGGCAATCCTCTCGCCTCAGCTTCCCCAAGTGCTAAGATTATAGGTGTGAGCCACTGTGCCTGGCCTATCCTCATTTTAGAGATGAGGAAACTGAGGCACAGAGCAGTTAAGTCATTTGCCTGACTCCACACAGCTAATAGGTGGAAGAACGAAGACCAGATCCTGAATCCTAGGGCTTGATTATGACACGGATGTGTCATGGAGGCAGGACAGCTGACAGTGCAGGGGCTGGGGGAAGTAACAGGATGCACTGTAAACCAGCATTACTGGAGGAGTGAGCTTGAGGCAAGGGTTAAGACCAACATCGAAGGCCACATCTGCAGAGATAGGGCATCACCTGTGGTGTAGGGGTGAGAACAGGCTTTCAGGGATTCTCCGGCAGTAGGTATGATGGGAGTGGGAAGAACCCAGGGGCCGTGAAGGTGGCTCCGGGGGGGCCTTCCCTGTCCTCCTGACCAGGATGGGAGAGGACTTAACCCTTTCCTCATCTTGCTGCCCAGCAGTCTGGCCTCCTGGCATTGGACAAAGGTTGCTGGGAGTCAAGCTGTCCTTTCCTGGAAAAATGAGCTGGGAGGGGCCTTCCTTAGATGGGGAGAGGGATGAGCCACCTGTCATCATTGCCCATCCCCACCATACCTTTCTGTGTGGCCCCTCTAGTTTGAGAGCCTCCAGGCCCAGGCTGGGAAGCACGGGGAGGACCTCCGGAATTCCCAGAAGGAGATTGCACAGATGAACCGAGCGGTCCAGAGGCTGCAGGCTGAGATCGAGCAGCTTAAGAACCAGGTGGGCAAAGCCCTCCCGGGCCCTCCTGCTCCTTGGGGCATTTGAGGGCGGCCAGTTGAGCGGGAGGATGTTGGGTAGCCTTCAGTCTTGCCTTCTCTGGGCCAAAACGGCGGCCGCTCAGCCTCAGACCCACTTGTGAGAGCTCCTGATGGAAGGTTCTTGGCCAGGTCCCTGTGTTGGCCAATGAGGGCTGAAGAGGTGGGACAAGAAGAGTCCTAGAGGGGCATGGAGGCTGTGGAGGGAGGCTGGCTGGCCCAGAGGAGCACCCGCATTATGACCACATTGGTGCCGAGCACTCTGCTTGATCTAGCTCTGGGCATGCTGTGCTGTACCTGGGCGCTCACTGTTCCTTGGGGCACAGAGGCCAACAGAAGCCCTCACTGTGGCCCATGTGGCCCCATCCCACCCCTAATCTTGATTCCATGACCCCCCACCCTCACCCTGCTCGGGCCACGCTAGCCTGCATCCTGTGTCTCCCATTGTCAAGCACAGTCATGCCCCAGAGCCTTTGAACTTGGTGTTCCCACCACCTGGAATGTAGTTCTCCCAGCTCTGTCCATGGTTGTCCCTTTCTCATCCCTGCGGTTTAGGATGAAAGACCCTTCCTCAGAGATGAGGTCCTCTTACACCCAGCCACTGTGTCAGCTGCCTGTCTGGAGTCCTCCGAAGCACCCGTTGCCCTCTGAAATCTCCTTAAGTTGCTGCCTGTCCCTCCCTCCACTGGAATAGAGCAGATGCCTTGAGAGCAGGGGTCTCGACTGTCTGGTTCACGGCTCTTATCTTCCAGAACCTGGCACATGGAGGGGACACGGGCCTCAGGGAGAGGCTGACTGGGAGGATGCGCTTTGCTTGGTGCTGGGGCTACTGGGGGAAGAATGGAGGGGGAAGGGTCTCCCAAACCCTGGTTGAGGTCTAGGTGTGGATGGGGCAGCTCACCCTGAGCAGGTGCCCGCAGTGGGGAGGGGGAGATGGTGAGACACGCAGCAGCTCCGAAGCTGATTTGCAGAGGGTTGGGAGTGGGATGTGGGGTGATTGACCCAGAAATGTCCTCCCCTTGGAGCCCGGCAGCCCCCGTTCACAGGAGGGTGGAGGTTGCCTCTGGGCACAGGTGCAGGCCTGCGAGCCACCTGTGAAGTGGTCCAGGCCTGGCGGGGAGGCGCCAAGTAACAATTGGTGGTTTCCCAAAGCCGGCAACCTCCACCACATCCAGTTCTCTCACAGGGGACGGGTCCTAGAGTGTCTGCCACCACCTAGGGGTCTCATGAGGGGCAGCAGGGATGGCCTCTGCCCCTAGGACACCAGAGGGACAGGGCTGGGCAGTGAGCAGTGGCCAAGGGACAGAGCGCATCAGAGGACCTGCTGGGGAGAGCTGGGAGGGTGGCAGGGAGGCGGGGCCTCAACTGAGGGAAGAGGGTCCGAGGGCAGAGAATGGTGGGTAAGAAGTAAGAGAGGAAGCCCTGGCCTGGGGGTAGGGAGGGCGGCCCTGAGCTGAAGGAGAGCAGGCCTGGGACCAGCAGGCTTCTGGCAGGGGATGAGCCCAGAGCAGAGGAACTGTAAGGCCAGCCAGGCAGAAAGTGGCAGCTACTCAAGGCAGATGCAGGTCCCTTGGAACCAGAGCGTCCCTGACCAAACCCATAGACTGTGGATCATACATCCATGGCAGCTGGGGGGCCTAGTAGGGTCTCTTTGCTCCAAGCCCCTTCTGTTTTGGGCCTGTTACCAACTGGTTCCTATTTTCTTTTTTGAGTCGGAATCTCATTGTCACCCAGGCTGGGTTGCAGTGACACCATCACGGCTCACTGCGGCCTCGACCTCCTAGACTCAGGCTATCCTCCCGCTTCAGCCTCCTGAGTAGCTAGGATGACAAGTGTGTGCCAACACACCCGGCTAAGTTTTTACAACAATTTTTTGTAGTGATAAGATCTCGCTATGTTGTCCAGGCTGGCACACTAGCAGTTATTAAGCCCTTGCTATGTGCTAGACATTGTGCCAAGGACTTGTGTTTTATTTCATTGCATCCTTGAAATATCCTGATGCAGTAGACACTGTGATCACTGCTGTCTTAGAAAAGAGGAGACTTTGACTTAGCGGGGTTGACTCGTTCAAGTTCATACCGCTAGTAAGTGGCAGAGCCAGAGTTGGAACCTAGGCACTGGAAATTCAAATTCATGTGTTTAGCCCTTGGGAGTCGCTGGTGCTTGGGGAGCACTTTTTTTTTTTGAGGTGTAGTCTCACTCCTTCGTCCCAGCTGGAGTGTAATGGCATGTATGCTTACGGCCACCCCAGCATCGATCTGCTGGGCTCCGATTATCCTTCTGCCTCAGCCTTCCAAGTAGCTGGAGCTACAGGCGCGCACATCCACGCCTGGCTAATTTTTAATTTTACCGTAGAGACGAGGTCTCGCCAAGTTGCCCGGGATGGTCTTGAACCTGCAGGCTCAGGCAATTCACTCACCTCAGCCTCCCTTCATTTTGGGAGGGATTACAGGCTGAACCACCGAGCATGGCTATGAGGGAGCATTCTTTTTTTTTTTTTTCTGAGTTGGATTCTCACTCTATCACCCAGACTGGAGTGCAGTGGCACGCTCCCGGCCACTGCAACCTCGACCTGCGGGGCTCAGGTGATCCTTCCGCCTCAGCCTTCCGAGTAGCTGGAACTACAGGCACACGCTACCATGCCCGGCTAATTTTTTTGATTTATTGTAGAGATGAGGTCTCACCAAGTTGCCTTGGTGGGTCTTGAACCTGTGGGCTCAGGCAATCCACTTGTCTTGGCCTCCCAAAGTGCTGGTATTACGGCTGAGCCACCGAGCCTGGCTGGGACGGGGAGCACTCTAAAGCAATGTGCCCAGGTGCTGGCTGCAGGATGGGTAGGCAGGAAGGCAGTGATTGGCAACACCTGCCCCCAGCTCACAGCCCCACTACTGCCCACAGCGTGCCAGGTTGGAGGTCGCCATTGCTAAGGCCGAGGAGCATGGGGAGCTGGAACTCAAGGACGCTAGGACCAAGCAGGAGGAGCTGGAGGCCGCCCTGCAGCGGGCCAGGCAGGACATGGCGCGGCAGCTGCGTGAGTACCAGGAGCTCCTGAACATCAAGCTGGCCCTGGACATCGAGATCGCCACCTATCGGAAGCTACTGGAGGGCGAGGAGAGCCGGTGAGGATGGGAGGCTGTGAAGGGGAGACTTGCAGGGCTTGGTGAGGTCTGAGACTTGACATCCATCCGTTCACAGGCACTTTCTGTGTGCCCCGCCTCTGCAGGGTGCCAGGGTTCTCGGCCAGAGCTGAGGCTTGCTTCTCTACCTTTAGTGAGGTGAACTTCTAGAAGGAAAGACCATGTAGTATGAATTCAGTGGGGAAGTTGACGTGACAACAGCCCCTCCGTGTGTGTGGTTATTAGCCGGGTTATCTTGTTTGATTCTCAGAATCCATTCAGGTAATCGGGTCAGATGTGACTGATTCCCTAGTCGACAGGGAGGTGAGCTGTGGTTTGGTTTCAGTAGTTGAGGGGACAAGGCCAGGGTGTGGACAAGGTGTGCTGAGCCCTGGTCCAAACGTCTTCCAGGACACCGAACTGCTGCTCACTACATAACTAAGCCCCGGATAATGTGGTGTTGGCTAAATGTTGTGGAGGAGGATGATATTTTCTGTCCCCAGAGATATTTGTCTACTCACCTGTAGTGGGAGGGAGGGGGTCAGTGCTGGGATGGATTATTCTTGTTTATTTTTTTGAGTTTGGTCTCACTCTGTCGCCCAGGCTGGAGTGCAGTGGTGCAATTGACCTCCTGGGCTCTGGCAATCCTCTCGCCTCAGCATCCTGAGTAACTGGGACTATAGGTGTATGTCGCCATGCTTGGCTAATTAAAAAAAAAATTTTTTTTTGTAGAGACAAGGCCTTGCTGTATTGCCCAGGCTGGTCTCAAACTCCTGGGCTCAAGCAGTCCTCCCACTTCGACCTTCTACAGTTCTGGGCTTACAAGCATGAGCCACCGCTCCTAGCCTGGGATGTGTTAGTCTGATAGGGAATTCTTCACGGACACGGCACCTCTGCCTGTGAAGTCAGATCTTCATGTTCACATTGCTGGGCTGGTTGATTCATTCAGTCAAGAGACAAGGCTTTAGAGTTGTGCCTTGGGGGGAAGGATAGGATTTGGAGAGGGTGAGAAGCAACAGTGTAGACAAAAGCTTGGAAGACCCTCATTCTTGGCTTGTTGAACCCAACATGGAGATAGATCAGCGATAGGACATGGACATAAGACCCTTCATTCTTGGCTTGTTAGAAACCAACATGGCAACAGATCATAGGTGGACATGGAAGTAAGACCTCTCAAGATGCTGAGGTTATCTATTTATTTTTTGAGTTGGGTCTCACTCTGTCGCCCAGACTGGAGTGCAGTGGCCGCTCCCGGCCACCGCAACCTCGACCTGCTGGGCTCTGGCAATCCTTCCACCTCAGCCTTCCAAGTAGCCAGAATTACAGGCGCGCGCTACCACGCCCGACTGATTTTTTGATTTATTGTAGAGATGAGGTTTCGCTGCCCAGGCGGGTCTCGAACCCGCAGGCTCAGGCAATCCACTCACCTCAGCCTCCCAAAGGCGCGGGATTACAGGCTGAGCCACCGAGCCCCGCTGATGCTGAGGTTATAAAGGAAGTTTTCCTTAGCAGTATTCCTGAGGGGCTGAGGAGAGACTCTGAAGGTGAATGGAGTAGAAGAAGGAACTGTGAATGAAAGGGTAGGGCAGAAGACCTGGATGCCAGAGGAGGGAGAGGCATGGGAGGCAGGGAGGAGGAGGAAGGGTCTCAGTGTCTGCCGCTGAGCTGATCCACTCCCTTCCCTGGATTAGCACCCAGTCTTCTTTGTGGGAGGAGGAATTGAGCAACAGAGGCTTCTGGGAGAAAGAACGCTGATTGGGGCACAGAGCCGTTGCTGCCAGGATGTCTCTTTCTGCTCCCTCACCCTGCGTGGGTGCAGGAGCTCCACTTTGGGCCTTGATGCCTCATAGAAGTCAGAACGGGTAGACCCTTACTGTTGGACCTGATCCAGCTTCCTCTCATGGTGGATGAGGAGACTGAAGCTTGGAGATGGTCCATGGTTTGTCCAAGCTCACACAGCAAGCAGGACCTCCCTTCCTGAAAGCCTGATTTCAGTCCGGGTTGCTGTAAATCACCTTAGCTCCCTTCTCTGGGAGGATACCATCCCTCCCTACCCTGGGAGGACACAGAGATGGACAGCTTGTTTTTATCCCTTAACTTCTCAGCCCTTCCCAGGGACACATCCAGGAGCTGCGGTCCAGAAAATCATACAAATTGGTGGGGCAGGGGTTTGGGGTGGGGGGAATGAGGGAGGTGGGGAGTAGGGGTGGGGGATTGGGTTCTCCAAGAATACAAAGCTACAAGTAAAAACTTGCACAAAAATAAACACTTTTTTTTGAATGAGAAAAAAGGTCACACAAATCACCAGAGCCTTGGACGTTGGGCCTCCTTGTTGAGTTCTTCAGGCATTCGTTGTGACAGAGGTTGAAGCTGGCTCCCAACCCCCACCCATGAGCGAGTGGCAGCAACTCCCAGCACTTGCAGGGGGCGAGGGGGTTGGCATTTGAACAAGGCCCCTGGGAGCTTCCCCAAACTCCCGGCTTGCCCCTGGTCTTTATTCTGCTCCCCCTTCCTGGGCTGGAGGCTGCAGAGGCCAGCTGGGCTCCTTTTATTCCCTCTACCAAAGTGAACTCTCCCTTGCCCCCTGCAGAGCAAACTGATCTCCCCTGCCAAGGACTTAGTGACAATGGGCCTGTGAGTTGCAAAACAAACACAACCAGCTCTCTCAATGGGTTTTTAATTTCCACTGCACAACCTGTTTTATTCCCTCTGGCTGCTTAAAGCCACCCCCACCTTGTCCTCCCTCCTCAGCCCTGGATGGAGCCCCATGTAGTCAGTCAACAGTTTGCTAATTATTTCAACACGCATTAGACAATTACTTCGCCAGGTCTCACGCTGGGGGCTGCATATACAAGCAGGACACCGTGAGGTTTCCCCATGTGGGGGGAACAACCATCTACATATGTGGCTACCATCCCCCATTCCTGGGCACCCAGGGCTTTAGGCACTTGTGCCTTTAACCCTCACAAACAAGCCCAATTGATAGGTGGGAAGTGGAGGCCCGAGGTCATGGCCCGAGGTCATGTGGCCACAGGGCAGAACAGGGCCAAGCGAACCCTCCTCCCCCACGCCTCCTTGTTCATTTTAGGAGGCCAAAGGCGGCCTGGAACGGTGAGGACAAGGAAGAAAGAGAAAGGATTTGCTTGGGGCCTGGAAGGAAGGAGTGCTTGGGAGTGCCTCTCTCCAGCACAGAGGAGAGAGCTGCTCACAGGTCTGTCTTCTGCCCCCAGGTTGACTGGAGATGGAGCGGGAACCGTGAACATCTGTAAGTCCTTGGCTCCAGCCCATGGGAAAGATGCCTGTGCAAGGCTGGGTCTGGGGAATGACAGCCTGGCCCAGAACCCTGCTCCCCTGGGGCGCACATCTAGCTAGGCTCCATGGTCCCCGGTAGCTGTGCACTGGGGCAGGTTAGGGAGTCACTGGGAAGCAGCCCCTACCCGTGTCAGAGCCCCTTTTGGGGAGGCAGGGGCGAGGGAGAGGATCAGCGGGGACACAAGAGTGGGGCTGGAGTGAAGGGATGGGGTCCCTGCCCTGAAGGAAGCCCTCTTCCTCTCTCTCCCAGCCATGGTGAATTCTACTGGTGGCTTCACCGCTGGTGGCCGTGGCAGCGGGCTGAACTTCGGGGGAACCATGGGCAGTAACGCCCTGAGGTTCTCGAGCAGCGGAGGGCCTGGAGCCCTGAAGGAAACCCTCCTCCCTTCTCTCCCAACTGTGGTGAATTCCACTGGTGGCCGTGGCAGCGGGCTGACCTTTGGGGGAACCATGGGCAGCAACGCTCTGAGTTTCTCAAGCAGTGGGGGGCCCGGGACCCTGAAGACCTATTCCATCAGGACCACATCTACCAGCCACAGGAGCACCCGCCACTGAGCCCTGCCCATACTCACGGGAGGACTCCCATCCCTGCTTCCATCCTTGGCCCCAAGGCAGAAAGACAGTTTGAAAAATGATGTCGGAATAGCTTCCAATAAAGCAGCCTCTTTCTGGGACCTGGGTGGTCCCATAACTGCCGCCGGCTGTCCTGGCTTCATTGGGCTGAATGGGGAACGGGGCAGGAAAGACACGGACTAAGGAAGGCAGGGTCTGCCCTGGTGAGGAGGAGGCGTCTTGTGCTGGAGACTGAGAAAATATTTGGGGACCTGGGGCGCTATCCTAAGGAACCAGACTCTTATCTGGTGTGGGGCTTGGCTTCCCCCCAGGGCTGGGGCTGAGGAATGCTTCTCTTGAGGAAGCCCAGAAAGGCCACAGAGAACTACCAGCGAGTGGGCATTGGAGTCCACCCCTGCCCAGTGCGGGGTGGGAAGGCTTTAGTACCCTTCACCCTGCCTGGTGCCGCCAGAGCGCAATCCTCCTATGGTGGAGAGGCCACAAACCTTCAGCCCCCCCAGGCCCCGGTTTCGGGTGGCCCAGCCAACTCATGCCAGCTGCCCTCAACCCTTCTTGGTGCTGGGTCTGCCAGGCTCAGGGTCAGCTAGGCCCTGGGCCCTGGAGGGGTCTTGCAGCTTGGATTCTGTGGGACCGATGGCTGTGGGAGGGGGTCCGTGTGGAAGAGGAGGGGGATTCTTGAGTCTAGGTCCCTCATAAGGGGTCTGTGTCTCAGGTCTCACCTGAGGGATGGGTTGTGCTTCTGAGTCTATGGGGATGGGGAGAGCCCATGGGGGTTAAGTCTGTGCTTGATGGGAGCCTCTATAGACAGGGTCTCTGACATGGAGTCCTGGGAATGTGTTGGGCGTTTTGTGTCAGGGCCTGTCATGGAAATGTCTGTCCCAGTTGCGCAGCAGCACACGTGATGGATGGGAGGTGGGAGGGCTCTGTGTCTGGGGCTCCCGAGGGTGATGGGGGTGATGGTGTGTACAGGGGGCTGGGGAGCAATTTGGGATGTGTTGGTTTCTGAGGGGATGTCTGTGTATTTGACCCCATGGTTTGGAAATATTCTTTTCTTTTTTTTTTAGAGACAGGGTCTTGCTCTGTCACCCAGGCTGGAGTACAGTGGCACAATCATTGCTTATTGTAACCTTAAAATTTCTTGCCTTAAGTGATCCTCCTGCCTCGTTCACCCAGAGTGCTGGGATGGCAGGTGTGAGCCACCACACCTGGCCTGGTCTAGGAATGTTCTTATGTTGAGGTGAGGCTGGAAATGGGGAGTGGAAGAAGTAGATCGCCGATGTCCCAGCAGCCATAGTGATGAGGTCACCACCCCGGGTGTCAGGGGATCCAGGCCCTTCCCCTCCTGCCTAAGGGTCAACCTCCCTTGCCCTTCCATCTCCTGTTTTGGCATGTCTGGGTTTTGGGGCTTCCGGTCTATCTCCTGTGCCCTTCAGGATGTAGTTCATGTGGGGTGGGGTACCCAGAGATAATCAACCCTCCCTCCCTCATGGTCAAGGACAGCTCTTTGTTGACCTCTGACCCTGTGAATCTCAAGTGAGAAGGCAAAGTGGGCAGGACACACAAGAGGTTCTCAGGATGCGTTATCTATGAAAGTGAGCTTTATTGGCAACTCGAGACCAAGAGGAAAAGAGGGAGGGAACCCAGACAGTCAGGAAAGCTGTAATGGGAGATGCAGCTTGTCACCATGCATGGGGTTACGAGGCAGAGAGACCCTGCACAGCAAGTCCATATCCCAGTATGTCCACACCCAAGGGGCGCCGGTGCCCAACTGTCCCTCAGAAGCCCCAGGCATCCAAGCTTCCAGTCGCCTGAGTTGGGCTGGGTCTTTGCCTAGGCTTGCAAGGACAGGGTCATTTAGACACTCAGCAGTCGGGAGCCTGGCTGTCCCTGGAAGTAAGTGGGGGAGAGGAATGCATGGTGGGGGTGGGAGTGGGGATAAGGGTTCTCTAGGCGCCCTGGCTGTAGACACTCCCTCTGCAGCTGGTGCGGAGCAGACCGCAGGGTACTCACCGCCAGGTTTCCACTACAGGGATGGCTGCAGACACTGCACCTGCTGGGGCGGGGGAGGCAGGGCTCAGTCCCCACTGGAACTCACCACAGCAGCCCCACCTGCTGGCCAGAGCCCCCTCCTCTTGCTCAGAGCATCCCCCTCCCTTTCTACCTACTCCCCCAAAGCCCAAACCCTCACACCTGGGCACTCCCTCCTGCAGTCTAACCTCAAGTGTCCTTGATGCACTGTTAGCCTGGGCCCTCTCAATAGGCAGAAATACAGTCATGCATTGCTGAATGATGTCCTGAGACATGCGTCATAGGCAGTCATGTTGTGTAACCCTCAAGAGTGTACTTCCACAAACCTAGATGGTGCACCTCCTACACACCTGGGCTTATTGCTCCTGGGCTGAAACCTGCACAGCATGTTCCTGTACTGAATACTGTAGGCAGTTGTAGTACAGTGGTAAGTATCTGTGCATTTAAACAAGAAAAGGTACAGCCAACATATGGCATCATAATCTCATGGGACCGCCATGCTGTAGGTGGTCCAAACTTAACCTAAGTGTCCTGTGCAGCTCACGACTGTAGCTACTTAAATTTCCATAATCCCTCACCGCCCCATCTCCTCTTTCCTTGGTCTGCACATATTGGCCACCCTCTGGCTTCCTATTTTATAAAGTTTGTAGCCCAGCCAATAAAAACTATGGGTCTATGGCTGTGGTTGCTTTCACATTCTAAGGACAGCATTGAGCAGTTGACACATAGACTGCATAGCTCACAAGTCTAATGTATTTACTACCTGATACTTTTTTTTTTTTTGAGTTGGAGTCTCACTCTGTTGCCCAGGCTGGAGTGCAGTGGCACACTCATGGTCACCCCAGCGTCGACCTGCTGGGCTCCGGTGATCCTTCCACCTCAGACTTCCAAGTAGCTGGAACTACAAGTGCGTGCTACCATGCCAGGCTAAACTTTTTTTTAATTGCAGAGACGAGGTCTCACCATGTTGCCCACGCTGATCTCGAACTCACGGGCTCAGGCAATCCTCTCACCTCAGCTTCCCAAAGTGCTGGGATTACAGGCTGGAGCCATCACTACCTGATACTTTAAGGAAAAGTTTGCCTGCCCAGAACCCCAAGCCCTTATTTCAGAAGCCACAAAATAGATTACTTACGGACCCTGACAGGACCATGCCCTCACACAACCTAGCGGGGAGAGCACAGAGAGGAACATGAGTTGTGGGGAGCACGGCTGATGAAATCTGTTAACCTGCAGTTCCTTCGTCCAAGTAGTGCCAGTGCGCATTAGAGGTGACTGTCTACAGAGATGTCCTCACCCGTGCTCCTTGCACTCCAGCAGGCGCCTGTAGGTGGCTATCTCGATGTCCAGGCCCAGCTTGGAGTTCATCACCTCCTGGTACTCCTTGAGCAGGCAGGCCATGTCCTGCTTGGCCTTCTGCAGGGCGGCCTCCAGCTCCGCCAGCTTGCAGCGGGCGTCGGTGAGGGCCGCCTTGCCCTGCTGCTCGGACTGTGTCACTGTGGCCTCCAGCTTGGTGTTCTGGGGGCCCAGGAGGGAGCAGAGTGGGTTACGGTCCCTGGGGCTCTCTGTCCATGACCAGGGGAGGTCCCTTCCCTCCGCCCAGCTGGGAACGGCCAGAAACGGCCTCCTGCCTCCACCACCTGGGACTCCCCGAGGGACCACGACCAGGGGCAGGACATGCACACGGGGCTGTGGATGAGGGGTGAGATCCAGAGAGGGCGCACGCCGGCTGTGGGACACGGGGCAGGCCCCAGCCTCTCTGGCCTTGGATGCAGATGACCCTACCTGGCACTTGGCGTTCTCCACCTCAGCCGTCAGCCTCTGGATCATGCGGTTGAGCTCGTTGATCTCCTCCTTGGTGCGGCGCAGGGTCTCCCTGTGCCTGATCACCGTGGCCTTCATCTCCTCGCACTGGGGGAGGCAGAGATGCTTGTGAGGCTCATGGGGGGAATCCCGTCCACCCAGGACAGCATGGAGGCTTGTGCAGGTTGGGCAGCGCTCAGCCTGTGCAACCACACATGGCAGTTCTGCCCTGGCACCCCACTGCAGAGAGGAGACCATTCTCTTTTTGCCATTAGGGATCAGAGTCCCTAGGCAAAGGAGCCTTTTTAGCAGATCCCTTGCATCCCTCCTGCTGCCATGCCACCTTGCTGCAGTACCAGGACTCATCCTCAGCCCGGCTGCAGGTGGTGATGCTGTTGTATTGAGCCTTGATCTCAGCGATAACGCAGTCCATGTTCAGGTCATGGCTGTTGTCCATCTTGACAACGACTGAGGTGTCTGAGAGGTGGGCTTGGGGCAGCGGATCTCCTGCAGGGGTGGGGTCGGGGTAGCAGAAGCTCGTTGAATCCACAGCACCACTCCTGGCATTTCACCTGGCTGTCATCCTGTCCTCTTCCCCTGCTTCCTCCAACAGCCTCATTGTCTGAAGCCACCCTCGAAGGGACAGTCCCTCCTCCCCCTGAGACCTCTTAGTTCTCCCTAGCCCCAGAGTCCTGAGGTTGAGAGAGATAGGCAGAGGAGGGAGTCCGTGTCTGAGGCCCACTGCCTGATATTAGTCAACTCCCCCGTTGAATCTTTGGGTCTAGGGCCAGAGTTGACCATCTCGTGATCACTGTTGCCATGGAAACCAGGAACACCGGTTTGCCCGGGTCATGGCAGATGAGCGTTCCAATGACACTTGACCTTCTGATACGGGACCTGCCTGAGGTCTCCCAGCTCAGCTCTGCACTCCCTTGCCTTCCCACTGTCTAACTCACATCCCCCTTGCTGACCTCCACGGCTCCGTGGCCCCTCACCTCCTCATTCCTCTGCCTGATAAAGTTAATCTCTTGGGCCAGGGCTTCCACATTGGCCTCCAGGTCTGACTCTAGCAGTCCATGTCCTACGGGGAGAGAGGGGCACATCGGGAGAGTCGGGTTGGGGAAACCACACAAGCACCCTGGGTTTTTTTTCCCCCCACCAGGGCGGGGCACCTCCTTAGGCTGAGCAAACCCTAGAAACCCTTCGTGGATGCTCATCCCAGAGCCTGGTACTCTGGCTTGGTGAAGCCCTGTCTCAGTGGGGGACGTAGCCAGTTGGGCGAGGGAGCGGCATCCCAGGGCTTGAGGCACCTCCTCTAGTACCTGCCAGGATGACCTCTCCACACCCACATCTTGCGCTGACGATGAACCAGAACTTAGTGTCAAATGGTCAGTTCTTTTTCTTTTTTTTTTTGAGTGCAGTGGCCGCTCCAGGCCACAGCAGCCTCAACTTGCTGGGCTCCAGCGATCCTTCCGTCTCAGCCTTCCGAGTAGCTGGAACTACAAGTGCATGCTACCACGCGCGGCTAATTTTTGATTAATTGTAGAGATGATGGCTTGCCAAATTGCCCAGGCAGGTCTCGAACCTGCGGGCTCAGACAATTCACTTACCTCAGCCTCCCAAGCGTGGGATTACAGGCTGAGCCACAGAGCCCGGCTAAATGGTCAGTTCTAATGATGCCCCGCTCCTCTCTGCTCTGGAAGCTCAGAGAAATGGTACAGAGTCAGGTCTAAGAGCTGAGGGGTGATGGTCATCCTCCACACCCGCGTTTCCCTGCTGTGGCTGGCCCGAGGATGCATCCAGTGCCCAGCACTCATGTGTCCTTCCCTTCACGAATACTAATGGATTGCCCACTGTGTGCTAGACAGGAGCAAGCCTTCGCTGGGGAGAACAGCGAAGCAAGCCCTGCTTGAAGCTGGCGGTGTGCTCTGCTGCTAGAGGGTACCCAGGGGACACCATGGGAGAGGACGGGGAGGGAGCTGGTGGTGGGACTCCAGGGGAGTTGGAGCTATGGGGTGCTCCCTTCCGTCTCTGCCCTCGGTTCTGAGCCAGGGGCTGAAGATTCTGGGGTCACCTGCCTTCTTCAGGGCCACAAATTCAATCTCAGCCGTGGCCCTTACAATCACCTCCTCCTCATGCCTGGGGACAAAGCATACAGGGCTCAGATTTGGGGAGAAAAAAGGAGAATAGAGGTCAGTCAGGCATATTCCAAGATCTGGGTCTTTTGGAGGTAGTCACAGAATCAGGAAGGTCTGGCCATTCAAGCCAAACCGGCCACCCAAGGCTCTTCCTGTTCCAGGGACTGCTGTTCCTGGTGGGGACGGTGGGTGCCTTGTACATTTTCCAAGGCCTCCTCCCTGTCTCTGGACTGTAACACCCCAGGGGAAGAGCCCCACCCTAGTTCTGAAACCCCTGCTTCCCCACTCAGAGCCCAACACCTGCAATGCTGAGGAGATGCTCGATTCATACCTGATGAATTAATGAAATAAACACATAATGCCGAGGTAACTCAGAATCTCTCCAATGTTTATACTCCCCACCTGGAAGATAATCCTCCCCCACCCCACAGGCTTACTGTCTGTCTTCTTCCTGTCAGGAAGTTCTTCTCAGGGTCTAGCCCAAACCTATCCTGCTTTGATTAAATCCCATTTCGTTTCTCCAAACCTTCCTTCCCACCGCACTCACTTCAGCCATCTGGCACTTCCTGCATGTGGTTGAGCTCTGAGGCCAGCATCCCGCTGTCGGCCTCTTCCTCCAAACACTTGTCCTCCCACCACAGCGTCTCAATGTCGCCCTTGAACAGTTGCTCCAGGCTGTTCTCACCGCACAGATGGTTCCGGTAGAACTGCCACTTGGTCTCCAGCAGCTTGTTCTGCTGCTCCAGGAAGCACACCTGGTATGGAGGGGTGGTGTTGAGGGGTCGGGGGGAGTTGGTGGGAGAAGCCAGTGTCCCCAGCCCTCGTTGGAGACCAGCCAGCAGTGAAATGTGCAGAGCCAAGGGGTGGGCCTTTCTCGGCCTGGGGATGCCCCTGGAGGATCTTGTTTTCTGACTGCTCATTCAGGCACCAGTGAGGGTCTGCCCAGGTGGGCCTGGGAGAAACTAAGAGGCATGTGGGCTGTGCAGGAGGCACAGGTGGGGCTGGTGGCGGCAGCAATCAGGGAAAGCTTCCTGGAGGAAAGGGACGTACAGTAGTGCTGGCCATAGGCTCCCCAAGGCAGGGCCTCCAGTTTCTTTACTGATGTCCTCAGTGGCCACTGGGTTTGGTGAGGAGCTGACTGAATGGACGATCTAGGTGGGGCAGGCTTCCTAGCAGGGGAGGTCAGGGAGGTCAGGCTGTCATCATCAGCGGGTGCCTGACTTGAAGAGGCATGTGGGTGTGGGTGTGTGGTCCTAGGTGGCCGAAACACTTGGTGGGCACCATGCGATACGTCTCTGGAGGTCAGGCAGGTAGTGAGGATGGGGGCAGGTTTAGGAAAAGGTGTGGGGAGTAAGGACTGCCAGGAAGCTCCTGGAGATCATCAGAACGGGATGGCAGCAGGTCATCGTGCTGGCCTGAAAGGACGTCACACACGAAACCAGCTCCCTTGGGCTGCAGCTTCCTGCCTCATGGATGCTGAGCATTAGCTGGGTGTGGCACTGTGCACCTGTAGTCCTACTTGGGAGGCTGAGATGGAAGGATCACCTGAGTCCAGGAGGACGAGGCTGTGGTGAGCTGTGGGAGGTCAGGGAGGTCAGGCTGTCATCATCCAGCCTGGGTGACAGTGAAACACCAACTCAAAAAAAAAAAAAAGGAGAGAGAAGCAAGTATAAGACAAATATTAAAGGCATTAGTACCCAGTGAGATTTTCTCCACCCAATCTTAAGGATTGAAACAGGCATGAAATTAGTTTTCTCAACGGGAGTATCAACGTTATTTAATGGTAGGGGTCGGTAGGTACCACCTAAAATATCCGTCTCAAAATTCAGCGGTCCCTATTCCCCATTTCTAGAGAGACTGGCCTGGCAATTCCCATCTTCTCCCAGGCCCGCAGGATTCAGGATGAGCGCGATCCAGGACACCCACCTTGTCGATGAAGGCGGCGAACCTGCTTTCGCGACGCCTGATCTGCTCCTCCTCGTGCTCTGGTCGACCGATTGGGTGGTGGTGCAGGTGGGGCCGGGCCCGCACACGCCGCCGGAGCGGTAACGGAAGCTGAACCCGCAGGAGCCGGCGCGGAAGCCCCCTGTGTCCTTCCCGGGCCGCGGGCCCCCCGCGGGGG